CCTTATACTAGTATTGAGCACTTTTTACTATTCACAGATGTACTTCATGCATTTCATTTGGTGCGAGCTCTAAAAAATTTTTTTTGTGGTGATCACAAAACTCTCTGTAACCTATGGGATCACCACGCAAAAGTAAAAAGCCGGCATTTGACGAAATGCATGGATTGCTCCCCTGAATGATCAAACTGCTCGATTTACAGAGACGGGATCTGCCCACAAACATCTTTTCCTATTCCCTCCCGAGAAACACCTGACCTGCAAGTTCTATATATCACGGTAACACTATTATCCACCCAACTGCTTTGTCTTCCTGTTTTCCCTCCCCCACATTTTGCTGATGAAAAATGAATCTCTCCACAGTGGGACAGCAACAGCGAAGCAATCCCGGCGGGCTTCGCTGCAGACGGGACCATTTCTGCGCTTGCAGAGCGCGGTGGCAGCACACGGCTCCCTGGGGCCCACCCGGCTCTTCAGCGGCATGACTGATGAACCTACACGCACGGAAGTCTGAGGGCTGCTGCCTTGCCAAGCACTAATCTTGGATTTTGCTTTTGGGCTTCATCTACCCTCCCGTACCCGAATCATTCTGTTGGATTTTCAAAACCTTGGGCAAAGCGGCAATGTCTGAGCACGTGCTTTGCCATCCCCGCTGCAAGCCCGCTGTTTTATGGCCAAACAGGCGGCGCACACTGCCTTCCTCAGCAGCACCGTTACATTGTTCCAGCGTTGGAACCAGTTAGTGTAGGCATGCTTCACACCCAGCCTATTTCTCTTTTCATTCACTTTGCCTTTTCCCTGCCAGAAGCAGGAAACAGCTAAAGTTTTTGAAAATAAAGGAGTCACTTTTAAAAATGTATTCTGAAACATATATCGAGGATTACTATGCCGTGTCTCGTGCAAGAGATGAACAACAGTATGTGGACTCTAAGTAATAGGGCTCAACGTCCAGTAAGAGACACACATCTCCCGTTCCTGTACAAATTAATTGCAAATATTCTAGTAGTATGGCAGAGGCCTTATTGAAAGCTTTGCAGTGGTGGGGGCTGAGGTAGGATTTTAGAACATGGCTCCTCCCAGTTAACCTCTGGATACAAACAACCCAATGCAACGGCAGACAAATAAGAAACCACAGACTAGCTGAGCCAGTGGCCCATCTCCCCTCTTCCCTCCAGCCCCGCCGGATGCACTGGCCCAGCTGCTGGTGTTGAGCGGGACAGCCTCCGTGACATACAATAGTAGTTGCCTTTAGCCAGAGCTCCGATTTTTGTTGCGATGTGGAGATGCCAAGCTTTTGAGACGCAGTAACCCAGCTCACTAGATAAAAATAAATTAGCAAATACGTGCAATAACCCAGTGCGTGTCTGGACAAGCAGGTCAGCAACTCCTCTTGGGGTGAAGTTTTTGCTCCCCGCTCCTCCCCACCCTGAGTGGGAAGAGGGGCTGGACGCGCAGGAAAAATGCAGAGGTGGCGTCCCTAGCCGGCCAACGCTAGGCATGGGGAGGGCGGCATGCGTCGAGACCTTCACAGGAGAGGCGAATCGAGAGTGGTGTCTTGGAGGATGAGAAGGAATCTGATGAGGAAATGAGGCAGGCGGAGTTACTAAGACAGAGAAAATAGTCTGAGTGATGGTTGAGGATGAAAAATGAGGCTGGAGAGAAAGCAGAAGGGGACAGATAATAGGCAACAGAATCAAATTTGTGTTCCGGAAAGATAATTCTGACAAATATGGTGGGTGCATTGATTGATGAGGACAGGGCTGGGAGAGAGGGAAGAAGGTATATTGCCAACATTGCAATGATCCAGGTAATAAAGGAGAAAGAGCTCAAAAATAAATAGACCATGTTGGTGTGGCATAGAGAAAAAGAAATCTATTTAAGAAATGTTTCAGAAACAGTACATCTCACTCTTTTTAAAAACATATTCTTATTTATTTCAGAGAAGAAAGGAGAGGGAGAGGCAGACAGAAACATCAATGATGACAGAGAATTACTGATAGGCTGCCTCTTGCACACCCCCTACTGGGGATTGAACCCACAACCCAGGCTTGTGCCCTGACCGGGAATCGAACCGTTAACTCCTGGTTCTTAGGTCAACACTCAACCACTGAGCCACGCCGGCCAGGCCTACATGTCTTGCTCTTTATTCCAGTCTCACTGAGCATGGAAGGCACTGCCTGAGACTGCAGAGGCGGAGACAGGCCAGAAGTGCTGCTCTAAACGAGCTCCCCCCACGAGGAAGGAAACATCAGGAGCGGGAAATAAAGGATCCCGACCAACACTAACCTCAGCCAACTTGCAGTTCCCTGCATTCTTTGGAGTCACTGCTAAACTCTGGGTGGCTTATCTAGTCCACGGCGCTCTGGGTGTGGACGGCCTCATGTCACTGTCCAAACTGGGTTTCATTGAGAGGCCATGTGGGTTGAATGGAAATCCTGACTCAGGGCCAGTGGGTCTTCCTGCTACTCCTGTCACCCTTTTGGGAGCATAGAAATCAACCTGATTTCCTAATTTGGACACTGGGCTGCAGGAAGCTTCCTGAAGTTGCCCAAGGCCCCATCTCCCTAGACACACCTGGCAGTCATTTCCAGCTCAGGGTACAGTGAGGACTGGGTCTCCTCTGCGCTCAGAACTAACAAATATCATTGGGGTTTGGCTACACCCAGGACGGTGGCCTCAGGAGGTGGGGCCCACGCCCTTTTCTCTGAGTCCCACCAACATTTTGGTCTTTCTTCCCCCCTGACCAGGGGTTTTACTTCGTTGCTCCTCTTCATCTGTGTGCTCTCCAATCCTTGATCCAATCATAAATCCTGCCCAGTACCCCGAGGAGCCAGCCCCTCAAAACTCACAGAGCACGCGCCCCTCTGCTTTCTGAGGCCGCCCCTCTCTCTTGAGGCAGTGGACACTAAATGGCTGGAAAGTTCAAGCTTTGGCTAATTTAAGTTGAATGTTCTTTCCCTAAAATGCAAATCACAAGGTGGCTAGGATCACAACGTCTGTTTAGCATCGTACCCCTGGTACTTAGCAAAGGGCCAGGCATCCCGCAGCAGCGCAGTACGTGTTTAAGTGAAGAAATGCAAAGGCAGGAGAGTGAAGCGGGGAACTAAGTCTTATGCATGCAGGACCTACTATGTGACAGGCACTGCCATAGGTCCTGAGGATACAACGGTGAGCAAGACACACGAATCCCTACCTTCATGGAGCTTACTCGCATTATTGCTCCTGTTATTAAGGAAGACAATAAACAAAAGAAAGGTCATTACAAATAGATAAATAATGTAAAAAAATAAACAGGGTGAAATGGTAAAAACACAGAAACCTGGTGACGGAGGAATGGGAATAGAGGATCCGAACTATTAATCTGATTGCACTTTCCCTCAGACCCCTCCAACCCAGGAGTCAAAGAACAAAAGTTAACAAAAGCAGGATTACTGAAATGTAAAAACCCTGTGAAGAGAGCAATTACAGAACAGCGTTTGGTATGGACATAATCATCATGCAGACAATGAGATGACACGTGGAGAGTTGTGGTGAAAACATCTTGGGTGTTTTATTTCCAAAGTGAGGCTCCACAGGCCTCAACAATGCAAAGTTCTTTTCATCTTCTTGAAAGTCACATGCCATAGGGCACGAAAGTTGTGTTAATGTAAGTTCAGTGCTTTCTGTCCTATACCGTGTAGAATTCAACACTGCATTTCACGTAGCTGGGAAAATACAAGCATCCCCTTTTGCCCTAGATAAAGAATAATATTTTCTCATTTTGCAGGCAGTGTATGAAAGTGTCATTCGACCCTGTATTTTTACAGCTGCTTTGCATTCACTATTGGAGAGGTCCTACAAACATATGTTTCTTTCTTTCATTTAGACTCAAAGGGTGTTATTATTTTGGAATTATTCAAATTTAAGAGAGTGATAAAGGGCGTCTCTTCGGGGGTTCCTACTAAACAAACCCCCAAGTTCTTATTCCTTTAAGGAAAAATAAAAAGTTTTGGAGAAAAAACAACAACAAAGGGAAAAAAGGTTTTGGATTATGAGCTTCGTATGGTAACTTCAAGTCCTTACATCTTGTCTGGCATTTAGCAGGTGCTCCGGAAATGGTGGCTGAGATGAACTGGTTTGGGAAGAGGCAGGGGATTATGATCCTCCTTATACAGATGGGGAAACTGAGGCCCAAAGCACTTGTGGGTGTGTTTGTACTGTGCTTCGCACTTTACCACAGGCTCACACCCAAGCGAGCTTGTTAAAAGTCGGTCCTCATGACTATCATATATATGATAGAGGGAAGGTAAATATTTTTGGGTAATGATGTGCTCGACACCCAGTGAGTTAGTTACTGCTGATTCCCCTCCACAGAGCGAATCAGTGTCTGCTGCTAAAGGACATCTAAACCTACTGTTGACAAAAGTTCAGGTCCTCGGGCAACTTTGGAAAGAAAGCGACTCTTCTAAGCATAATAACAATCAGAAAGCTATTGGCAATCTTAGCACCAGAAAAAGCCCAGTAATGTAGAGAGAAGCAGCTCTCATACACTATTGGTGGTAGTGTGAATTGATCCTATTTTTATGAGGAAAATGTATGAATAGCTACCAAAATCAAAATGAACCTATCTTTGACATAATTTACTTAATCAATGCATTCCCACTATAGACATACTGGTGCAAGAGAACATAGGTATGTGAGGAAAAGGATACAATAAATATAAGAATATGAACATAAGACTGTTCACTGTGACACTCATTGTTAGTAACAGAAAACTTAAGACAGCCTAAGGGCTCATCAATAGCTTGCTGGCTATACGCTACACAAGGGTTATCTGGGTAGTGATACTTTATGCAGACGTTTGAAATATTACATCGGTTTATGTATTGACATGAAAAAACAACAACAAAACGGACCACAATATAGTAAGCCAGAGAAAAGCTGCTTTAACAGTTTTATTTCCTTTGAGTAAAAATACTCATCAAATATTAGTGACGGTTACACCTCTGGAAAGTGAGATGGGCTTTTTTTTTTTTTTTTTAACTTCATTCAATTCCATCCTACTTGATTTTTGATAGAAATAGATTATTTTTAAAATTCAAAAATGTAAGAGAAGCTGTTCAATTCTGGCCACCTGAGAAGCTTTTTGCTTTTTACCCACCAGCAAACAGCACCCAGGAAGTGGGAAGCACAGGCCAGAGTGATGCACAGCAGCTTCTCTGTTACCAGGCGTGCTTTGGGAACAAGTATTCTGATTAGTGAATGATTCTTACTCCCTTTCGAAGTGTAGTGCCTAAAAATACAACATTGGATAAGAATAGATACCTCGTTCGTATTCAGTTGGTACCTAATGCCCAGGACATTGAAAATGACTCCCTCCCCCCATTTTCCAGCCCCGGGTTCAATCACTCCACTGAGAGACAATCTTCAGCACTCCACCTCAATGGCTCATTCCTGCCAGAAATGGCCCAGCATCCTTACAGTAAGATAAAATAAGAGGTAAAGCATAATTAGCTGGTGGGCGACACCAGCAATAATGAGGTCAGTCTTGAACTCGGAGCGGAAGCGTTCCAGGATGTCTCTTCTGACAGCAGAGGAGATTCTGGATGCCCTTCTTCTCATCAGTGCCCCTCAAATGTGCCCGCGGGCAAGGGCACCCTAAGCAGGGCAGATCCTGTGCAGGAGCCAGGCCCTTTACTTTGGAAAAATGTGAGCTGCTACAAGAAGCCTGATGAAGCATCAAAAACAATGTTCCTACCAGGTGAGGGCCCGGGGGTGGAGGAGGGGGAAGGAGGAAAGGTTATGTGGGGCCACATTTAGCTGAAGAGGTGCCTCCTGAATCTCTGCGGCCACCCGAGAGCACAGCGTGGAGCTCAGCTGCATCAACAGACCCAGGTGCCCTGCATGCGGGGCTGTGACCTCCCGCTGCCGGGACAGCGGGGTGCAGGGCAAAGGGCTGGGCAGAGGATCAGAAGACTCAGGTGTGCGCCTCAGTTCCAGGACAGGGTGCCTCATTTCTCTGAACCACTATTTCCAGAGCTGACAAACAAGAACAGAAATCACCCACTGGCTCTGCCTCCTGGGCATGCTGGGTGGTTTAAAGAACACGGGGCCAGGAAAGCATTAGGTAAATGAGAAAGCCCCATACAAATGCAGGCTGTATTCAGTGGCCTGTGAGATAGTTGTTGGTGATCTAAAAAAAAAAAAAAAAGCCCAAAGCTTGCTTAAATCACTCTCCTAAGATACACATGTGAAAGGTTAGTGAATTACCAAATAAATCAAGTCTTTCACTATGTTCACATAATTGTCCAAACTAAGTCCTCATTATAGAACTCACTGTATCAGATACTCCATAGAGAACTGTATATAAAATTATAAGGATCTACTTCTACATAAAAAAAGTATACAAAATATAAATGTGCCATTATATATGACTTCAAAATATAGGACTAGATTATTCTTACAGAACTACTGTAGTGGCAATTGACCTTGTGAATGTATACAGTTATAGCAAAAGTTTTAGAAAAGTAGCCTAAATCCAGCCTCCATCTCACAACTTTAATACGTAGTGTGTTCGTTCCTATTTTGGACATTGCGTCTGAGAGCCGTCCACGGGGACAGAGATGCGAGAGGACCACGGCGCTCAGCTTCCTGCAGAAAACCATCAGCTCTTCTGGTCGGGGAGCTCCCGGGGGCAGTCCTCCTCGTTCTCCTCGGAGCAGGACAGGCTCAGCGCACTCGCCACGGGGTGGATCCAGGACGTGGTCTGTGTTACGTGACTTGAGGGGAACAAGGAACGCAGTTACAATCTGGAAGCTTGCCCCACCCATCCATGCAAGTACTCGGCCCAGTGACACCGCTTCGACCGACTGCAGTCCCTGGGATGGGAAGCAGGTGGGACCGGATCCAACCTTTGTAACGTCTTACATGTGTTTTAAGGTCCAACCAAAACCATGTCTGTTTTTCTCCTTTGGTAACAAGAATGGCAGGAGAGTGATTCGTCGTGGATTCCTTGCCTCTCCTTACCTGACCGTCACCAGCCACACGCTCTGTGTCTGCCTTGGGGCAGCCTCTCTGGACCCTCTTCCTTCCTCTCCTTCTCCGACGCTACTGCCTGGGTCACTGAACGCTTGTCTCTCTGCCTCTGTTCTAGTTCTTTTCTAATTCATGCTCCACTCCAGCCAAGAGGTCTTTCTAACGACAAATCCCTCACGGTTGCTCACTTGCTAAAAATTCACTGCCAGCCAGTGCCTTCTGGCTCGGACATGTACCCCATCCTATGAAACGCTTTGTTTTTACCTGCTTCACCAGGGCTTCCTTCTCTGCGAGTCTTCCTCTCCCACTGGGATAACCCAGGTGACTGAGTCTAAAGAACAGCATCTTCCCCGGCTTCCTCCCATCAGTGCCCCTCTCTACCTGTTATGCCGTAGGATAAAATGTGTTTATTTTTAGGCCTTCTTACTGCACATGAAGCTCTCCGAGGGCGGGAATGGATTCTTTTCTCCAAGTTTACGGGGCCTGACGTGTTCTCAGAACAGATGACTAGTCATTTCCGGAAGGTCACAAGCAGAGGTAGGGAAGGGTGTACACAAGACGCAGGGCATGTTGGGGTGGTGGTGAAACATCACAGAGGGCACCCCTACCTGGTGGGTGGCGTTTCTCAGCACTTATAACCGACACACCTGCAGCTGGATGGGTGTCCTGAATCTACCGCTACTGGCACAATGCCTGCGTACTAGACAGAAGCTTCTGGAATTAGGGCGATCTGTTTCTTTTCCTTGGATATTCTTTCTGGTCCTGGTTCACCCCACTGCCCTTATCCATCCTAGCTCAGTTTCCTCCACCCCGATCCTATCCAAACTCAACCTCAGAAGCAGCAGCAGGTCTCAGGGCAAGTTCTCCTGGGCTGGCAATTTGAGTATCAAATAGGATTGTGGTTCTGGACGGATCTCCTACATTACATTACAGGGTAACATTTCCCAAAGTGTGTTCCAAGGGTCTTTACGTGAGAAGAGAATTTTATGGTCAAATAAGTTTGAGATATGATGTAGTTAGGTAGGTTTCTTTACTCCAGGATTTCCCAGAACCTTAAATATACGCCTGTGTTCTCGGACTCTCCAAGAGTATGCAATCTTTCTCAAACCAGCGTGCCCTTACGAGCACACACAGGGCTAGTGTTCTACAGAACACGATGTGCGAGTTGTCACAAAATGCACTTGCTTTACTGGCTGTCGATGATGGTAACTGCAAATGTTGGACTTAGTACAAATGATCACTTTCACTGTCATTACTGCATTTGGGTTGTTTTCAACCCTATACTCTAAATTCTATCCATATCCCCCTACAAAACTTGTTCAGCTTGTCTGTTTACATATTAAAAGTGCATTTTTCCATGGAAAAAGATCACTGATGGGTTCACGATTGGGTAGAAGAGTTAGGCTATTTAAGAATCAAGGTGAAGGTGGGAAGGCCCAGACGTCATCAGTTGCACAGCCGCTGACTGGGTAAGTGGTACAGAGACAGTTCCTCTCTGGACAGGGATCCACATGACTGTTATCTCAAGTGGTTAAATGGAACTTCTAATTTGGGGGCTGAATTACTATCGCAGCTGATTCTGCACAGGTTAACTCCATCACAAGGCCTTTATAAAGCTGCAAAGCTGCCTAAACTGAAAGTGGTTTCAAATAGATACTAGTGAGTGTAACATAAGGGGGCGTGAATGCCACAGCAAGGGGAACTGAGAACGCATCGTCCATGTTTAGGGCTAAAGGCAACACCCTGATGAGACAGTTTTGCTAATTCTAAAATATTAAAATACTTTAATATTTATCAGCACATTTACAAAGAAGAGATTTAAATGACTATAAATTCTCCCTCCCCTACAACGTCCTCTAACTGCCCTATGAAGCAGGTAAAATGGGAACAATGACCTAAAAGGTAAATCCAGGTGCATGCTTTCCTATTTGACTTAAAAAATTATATTCTCATGCCTCGAGTATAAGTGCCCACATACAAACATTAAACTGACCATCTATAATAATAAAAGGGTAATATGCTAATTAGACTGAACATTTCTGGATGTCATTCCGGACGTCCTTCCTGACAAAGCAGGGGCCAGAGGAAAGCCAGCAGTCCAGGGTGCTTGTGGGCGGCCCGAGGGAAGCCAGCCCGGGTCCCAGGTGCCGGAGGGAAGCCGGTGCCAGCAGCCTGGGTCCTGGGTGCCGGAGGGAAGCTGGTGCCGGCAGCTGGGGGAAGGAAGGCCTACTCTTGCACGAATTTTGTGCATCAGGCCTCTAGTTTAAAATAAAAGCAAAATGTCTAAGAAAAAATGTTGGTATGGACTGAGCAATACCTTAGGAAGTTCCATCAGAAAGTCATCCTTGCCAATAACCTTCATTAAACACTTTTTAGCAATGAATCAATACCTTATATTACTCCAGATAGAAAACAATGCCATAAAATATTAATTAATTTTATACTCCCAGTATGCTCTCCTGTACATTTTATTTTATTTTTTAAAATATATATTTATTGACTTCAGAGAGGGAGAGAGAGACAGAAACATCAATGATGAGAGAGAGCCATTGATCGATTGCCTCCTGGACGTCCCACACCAGGGATTGAGTCCTCAACTGGGCATGTGCCCTGACCGGGAATCGAACTGTGACCTCCTGGTCCAACGGGCGACATTCAACCACTGAGCCACTAGCTGGGCTCATCTGGTCATTTTAAAAACACACACCTAAATACCAAAAATGCAGTTACAACAGCTACTACTAGAAAAAAAATAAAACCTCAGCAGCAGAGAGAGTGCTCTGCGCATCAAGCACACTTTTCACCCGGGTCTTCTGTAAGGACCTCCAGAGCCAATGCTTCTGAACCAGGTGAGGCATGGACAGTGCCTGGCAATGAGTACACATTCCCTTAATGACCGTGGCTCGCCTGGTGGATAACTAGGGCTTTCTGATTACTGTGAGAAAAGCTTGGAATCCTTCCTATGATGATGGAATGGGGCATCTGTGTGTTTACTGTTCAGTTTTTTATGTCCTAGTGAGCGCTGTATGATGAGCTCATCCCAGATCGACTGGCTTGGCCAGCACACGAGCATTCGAAATATTTGCTCCCTGGTTTATGTGCCTGGTAATTCGACTGAGAAGAGAGAAAATAAATCAGCCCTGTTGATGCTGTTTAATTAATAAAGACCCCGTGGTTCATAGAGTGGGATGCTGCTACTTAGTATGAAAAATGTAGAGGTCCGGAAAAGAGATGAGGCTGGCTGTGAAGTGAACATCTTCCCTTGGAACACGCAGTACCGCTGGCAAATGTGCCTGCAGAGAGTGCATCTGACCTGATTTGGGGAGCCATCAGCAGCCGTTCCAATATATTTGAAAATCTAAAAATGATCATACTACTTGCCTCTGAATGATTGCCAAATCTGTTGTTGGAAAACATTAATATTTGATTTGGGAAGATGACTGTGTTGAGTTTTTCTTCCATAATAATAGTGAATTGCAAGACATAATTTAGAGTTTATTAAAAAACAAAACAAAACCCTAACAGAATAGGCTTTATTTTACTGGCAGAGAAACGTAAGTGAATTATTTAAATTTCATTATAATGACTCTCCTTGTGTTTCTTACCTTCTAGCATGCAAGATGCTTTCTTTCAAAAATTTAGGGCAGCATGTTAAGAGAAAAGTGGTTTAAAGATAAAAAGTCTACTCATTTTGTAGAAATTCATTCTTATAACTGTCTGTGATGAAAGAGGCCCTTTTGTTAATTTTCCATTGTAGATGGCACTATTTATATAACATTGTGAAATTAACCAAATTGTAAGTATTATTTAATCATGTTTAAGATAAAGCTGCAGAAGCATGAGCCAAAGTAATTAACTTCCAATGCTCTTTTACTGGGGGAGGGGGGCACTATCTTTTTTTTTTTTTAATCATCACCCAAGGATATGTTTCTATTCATTTTAGAAAGAAAGGAAGGAAGGGAAGGAGGGAGGGAGGGAAGGAGGGAAGGAGGGAGGGAGGGAGGGAGGGAGGGAGGGAGACATTGATGTTAGACACATTCATTGGTTACCTCCCATATGCACCCCAGCCAGGGACTGAACCTGCCACCCAGGTATGTGTCCTGACCAGGAGTCAAACCTGCAACCTTTTGGTGTATGGGACAATGCTCCAACCAACTGAGCCACCCAGCCAGGGCAGGGGGTGAGCTAACTTAAGTATATAACATTCATATGAACTAGAACAGTGGTACTCAACCTTCTGGCCCTTTAAATACAGTTCCTCATGTTGTGACCCAACCATAAAATTATTTTCGTTGCTACTTCATAACTGTAATGTTGCTTCTGTTATGAATCGCAATGTAAATATCTGATATGCAGGATGGTCTTAGGCGACCCTTGTGAAAGGGTCGTTCGACTGCCAAAGGGGTCTCGACTCACAGGTTGAGAACCACTGAACTAGAACATGAGAACAAATAAGTGAATATATGTCAATTCAATCTGCTTTTGCCACCAGTAACTTAAAAATACTAGAAAATTTTACTACTGGCCATAAACTGCAAGTACTAATGACAATAAAAGATTTATACTTAAAAAAATCCCAACTTAAAACAAATTAGCTGGTAAGAACAAAAAGCAAATCATGGCAATAAAATTATTAAAAAGTCAGCATGTAATCTTACCAGATACTGGTTATGAGAATGGTTATAGATTAATAATATGAAGTATCCATTCCAAACATGCATAAGAGAAAATTCCAGGCGGTTTA